AAACCGTAAAAATACAAGGAAAAGAAAATAAAGAAGAATTTATTCAGGTTAATGCTTTATAAAATGAAAATGATATAAGTATTGGATACATTGATGCTGTAAGTGCTGGAAGATATGACTGATATAGATTTTTTATATTGAATAAAAGTTTACAATTTATATTAAAAAGAAAGGTTAGTGTTTTTTTGTTTTATTTTAAAAAAATTGAAAATATTATTTTAAAATTATATTATTTTAATAAAATAATATGTAAAAAGATAAAAAAATTAATTTACATTTAAAATATTTTAATTTTTTAAATAAAAATTTATTAAAATAAAGTAATTTAAAGACAATTTTTTAAAATTTTCAAAAAAAAAGAAGACACATGTACTTTTCTAAAAAGGATTGCCTTTCCTCCCCAAAAAAAAGAAGCATATAACTTACTCTTTTATTTAGCGTTTACTTATGCATGCATTTGTTACTATGATTATAAATTTACCAGTAACTTATCATTAGCATTTATTAAAATAAAGCGACTATAAATAATGATCATTAAACCTTTATTTTAGACTGAGCATGTCCTTAAATTAAATTAAGCCACTTTGCCTTTAAGAAGAACATTAAACAATTTCCAATATATATTAGGAGCACTCCACCTAAAATAAACTAGTTTGAATTTTTTTCTCTCTCTATCTCTCTCACATGTCACTTTAATTTTATTTATTTTTTTATTAACTTTTCGTATTTGATAATTACATTGAATTTCGATTAATTCAGAATCGAGCAGAAACTCTTACAGTGTCTGTTTTTCTATTCACAAAACTTAAATTTAAAATTTTATTTAAGAGAAATTGAGTGTTTTTAACTCAAAACCAACAAGTTGTTGGTTAAATATTTTTTTATTAAAAAAATAAAATTGAAACTTTATTTTTTTGGCCCAAGATCATTAAACCTTTGACTATTGGGCTACAAGGCCAAAACCCACCACTTCCACTCAACAGGCCGGAAGAGAACTCCGGACTCCAGAGTTAGTCCATACAGAGCCCATCATAACAAATTTACACCGAAGTCTTCTACTTCCCGGTTCTCCTCGTCTGCCAGCCAAATCGTCTTCTGACGCCAATTTCCTGAGCCGGAGGCCATGAACTCCGGCAATCCGCATGGCATTTCCGGGCTCGCTATATCCGTTACGGAATCTATCCGTTCGTTTTTTCTCTCCGCCTCTTGGGACCCGCACCTACCTCTAGAACTTCGAGGATTCGCTTCGAATCTCTCTTCACAATCCAATGTAACATACAAGCAACTTCGAAATATATGGATCAATACGACAGCCGAGAGTCGATCGGACTTCCGTCAGCTGTTCTCCGCATCGGATTTCGTATTTTCCAGACCTAAGTCTAGAGAGAAGGTAAAAATTTGAATCTGATTGCGAGCTAAAACTTTATAATCCTCATATGCAATTGCCGAGAGTAAATTTCATCTTGTAGTTATAGCTTTCGCAGTTTAGATTTAACGAATTCAGTGAGGAAAACTTGCAGTACAGTGAAAGTGTTGAGATGGTCTCTGCATTTTAGAGAAAATTTTCTGGCATCTGAAGTTTTTTTTATATATGATCCTTAGAAGCTAGCTCGTTTGTTATACTGTTTCAATTTTCAGAGTGAAGAATTGAAGGCAAGATTGAGGAAGCTTGCGGAATTAGGAGAGTTTAAGGATATCGCCCCAAAGAAAAACATGAATGAGCCTTTCTCTACATATAAGGATCAACTTGGTTTTGGTTAGTATTCCTTATTCCTTTCTGTGTTATCTGTTTATCAAGAACGGTGTATTTTTATTGCCAATGGTGGGAAAATGTATGTTCAAACTTGTTACAACCATTACACCACCGTCTGTCCTGTACTGTCCATACTGTCTTTAGTCCACTTCTTGGGATGAATTGATGATAATCAACTTCATTTTGCTTGTTGGGCATCAGAAGGCTTCAAATTGAGTTACTTATATTGGTTTGGCTTCTCTAGTTCTTTGTTTATCAGCACACGGTAGGTCACGCACTTAGAGTCTCAAGTCTCAATTTTTAATAGAGGCTGTTGTTTCTGTTATGAAACATGTTTCACCTGTCAACGGTGTAGCTATTTCTTATCCTTTAACCCTGTTGTCCAAGGTCTTCTGGGTAGAGTCAGTTTGTACCTCTGTTCTTTCAGCTATTATTACTTGATTTTATTCAGAGTTCCATTTTACAACTTGTAGTACTTACCTTTTATTTTATATAAATCCTTTGGGAGTCTTTCCCTTCTTTCTTTTGTAAGCATAAGTTGTTCATTTCAATGCTGATTGTTGATTGATTGCTGAACCTGAGATCTATTTGCATACTACAGGTTTCCATGTTGTGCTGACCATGTTTACTGGCTATCTGGTTGGATATTTGGCATTTAGAGCATTGTTCAACCATAGTCCTGTCATGGTACCTTCCAACTATATCTTAAAATTGCAAATTTCCTAATGTCAGTATTTGCAACTTTGATGTCCTTAATATTCTTGGTACTAACTGTTAACTTTTGTTTTCAGAATGCTGCTGGAGGTATCATGGGATTGGTTTTCGGCATGCTCCTTGAAACTCTTCTGTTCATTATTAGAACATCTGATCATGGCCTCAGATCACCACCTCCAACTTCCAGAATGAAAAAGAATCAATAGGCTAGTCACCAAGGGGTGCCCCCTCTTTTCTTTTCTGAATTGTCTAATTTCTGTTGTACATAGCAACTAATAATGTTGTTAAACCTTGTTGACTGAGTAGTCAGACTCACTTGTTATACACAGCATTTGAATCAGAGGATGAGCTACTGATTGATATTTGTCGCTATTAATTTGCTCTGTCCCAGATAGTTTCCTGAAGGACTTGGTTGAGATATGAATGACATCTGAGAATAGTGAAAATGAATTTTCTTTTGAGGTAATCTATTTTTAGTGAAATTCTGGTAAGATTAAAACTATCTGGGATATGTTGGTTATTTTGGTTAATGTCTTAGCTTTTCAAAGATTCT